AATTTTTCTAGTAGAAAATGCCGTAAAACAAAAATTGCACAATTGTTGGTTACGGCGTTTTCATTAAGCACGGCAGTATGGTCCAATAACTAATGCATCATACCCACCAACACTGACAGACAGCCTGTTTCGAACTGTTGGGTCTCATCAGTGTCAGGCAGTCGGTGACGGGAGACACGCATCAAGCTTTGCACTGTTCACTTATAAAGAAATAAGTGACCAGGACAGCGCGCTGCAGCGGCGAGATGTATCGGCAAGTCAATCTGGAGACATCTACCGTCTTAAGACTTAGGCTTGCTGTGCAGCGTGCAATCACAATGCACTTAGACACACACAGTGGTAGGTTTTATCAAACCGTAAGCGGCCCAAAAGAGTCGAACTAGCTTTGACCAGCTATACGGCAATATTTCAGAACAATAGGTTTTTTACTTTACGCCAGTAGTATGCAACCAATATTGCAAGACTGAAATGCCTTCCATCTCGTCACCGATGCCACGTCTTGATTGACTTGCCGATACATCTCGCCGCTGTCCTTATAAGTGAACAGTGCCGAGCTTGATGCGTGTCTCCCGTCACCGACTGCCTGACACTGATGAGACCCAACAGGTCGAAACATGCTATCTGTCAGTGTTGGTGGGTATGGTGCATTGGTTATTGGACCATACCATCCTAAGTATCCTAGCAATTTAAAGAATTGTCTATGGTCATGTATTGGGTTTGGCTATCTTTTTTTATTCTTATCTTTTGCGTTAGATAATTTTAATTTTCAAGTATGTATTTCGCATAACATTCTGCACGTTCCATTTCTCTTTGTGGCGCTAGTTCTGGGATACCCTGTATAAATTTAATAAAGCTTAAAAATAAACAAAATCTAAATTGTCTTCGTTTGTCACTAAATAATAAAAACAGGTGTTTAATAATAAAGTTTATAAACTAATTTTAATGCATAAAAATTGCTTTGGTGGGTTTATATAGCTTTTTAACTTAATTAAATAAACCCAAATAAACCGAACGCAAGAAACTTGCAATTTTGGCGAATGCGTCGGGATTAAATAACCTATTTTAAGCATTACATAGTAAAGTAGATAAAAAGCCCGACAATGCATGTTTATTTACTGAAATAGCTAAAATGCCGCCGTTATATTATAGTTGGTTTCGCTTCGTTGCATTTTTGCAAATCCGAAAATAAATAAGCTGCCGCGAAATCAGGCATTTATCCGCGAGAACGACGAGTATGTATGTAGTCAGTAAACTATCCGTGCTTGTGGCACTCCGACTGCACTCAATGAATATTATATTAGCTCCATTTGCATATTATGGCCGAATTATATTTAAATATAGTTTCCCATACCATCGTGTCCTTATTATTTTCGGCAGTGTTGTTTGCAGTACAATTCACTTTGAATTTCCTCTTTTACCAATTCTGTTTTTTTTTCCTATTTTTATTTACAGTTTTTTACGCAAAGCGCCCATTCTATGAACTATAACTTAAAAAGTTTAAACTTATTTTTTAAATAAAGTGCACCGGGATAGAGTTTGTATTATACAGGGTGTTTCACATTCGTGGTCCATAAGAAGTCTATTTTTCTAAAATATTTCAATTGTCAATCATAAATAGCCCATAACTTTTTTGTTATTAGGTTTGCGGATATGGTTGTGAAAGATTAATAACTTTTTTATTTGAAACGTAAATAGTGAATTAAAAAACCTTTTTATTTACTTAAAGGTAATAATCAGAGAAATTTAACATTTCTAAAATTTTAAATATTATTTTGTATCAAGAAAACTGTGACGAGCGAGTTGACGGTATCTATGGTTACCAGGTAATCTGCCATTATTCAAAATTTAATGGCGTCAATTTTTCAGGTTGTTATTTTTCTGATAAAGAATACAACTCAGTGTCTTATAAAAAACATTAAAAAGCCAAACATTTTAACAATTTAAAAGTTATGGGTGAATATTGAAAACTGTCGATTTTCGGAACCATTTTCGTTAACACATAAAAAAATTGCAAATCTTATTAATTTTGCACTTTTAGGACTTTTCCACTCATGAACATAGACATGAAGACTAAAAACGTATTTTTTTTTGTCTTTTTTAGAAAGTTGAACCTACGGTTTTACTTGGTCATCTCTTATTCTTCTGCGTCTATCACGTTTTGCTTGTCTTTTAGCTTCCTTGGTCAACTTCTTTCGTGATTTTGTAATTTTTATTAATTTTCCACTGAAATGAAATATTTAATTGGTTACATGTAAGGGACACGACAATGACGAGCACGGTAATGATGATTTTAAGGTTAGAGTGTTTTACAATGTTTATTCGAAAATGTAATGGAATTCTCAAGTTACCATTGGCTTTTTGTTAATGCAAGACTCCTTTGTATTAATGTAAATATTTTGTATGTCCATAAACTTTGAAATAATACTTACAATGACGGTGATTTGGCGCACCTAACAGCTTTATGGTTTGACATATACTAGTGGCCGTTAGACAGACAGGATATTTCCATATCACACGTTAAAAAACTTCCGGCATTTTCCGAATGTATCACGTATTTAAATATGAAATTAGACACATTTTAACCCTAGAACGCTAAACATATTTCTACACCACTTGAGACTAAGCATTCGTAAATTTTACGAATATTTTTTTTTCAGGTTTTTTATTTATTTTTTCTTATATCAAAACAAACTTCAACAAAGAAACGTATTATTTATTTAACACAAAGTCTTAATATACCATTTAAGTACATTTTTTACAAATTTCGCCACGGTGTTCCGTACAATATGGTTTTTTACATTTTAAACAAAAGTGAGTAGTCATTCGTCTCTTCTTTGATGGGCAACTGGCACAAATGGTTCTATTGGGCACTGTTCTCTCTTCCTCGACTGTCTGTCTGTCTTCTGTCACTGTTTCTCCTAGAAGCCGACTAATACTTTCACGGAGTGACCGCTGCAAAGTGGGTATTTTGACTCGCTCTTCTAGCCACGGCGTCACTAAAAGCTTATACAACTCCAACATATATGCCTTTCTGGAGATCAATTTTTGACGACGTTTTGTTCTATGGGCATTGTACAAAATATAGCTATTTACGCAGGCAATATTTAGTATTCCAAAGAAAAGGCATAAGGGCCATCTTTTGGTTTTTCTAGAAGTACTCATAATGGAACACATTTGGTCCAATGTATCCACTGACCCTTTTGTCTGATTGTAAGTTTCAATAATTTCTGGTTTTCCTGACGTTTCTGAGACACTACAGCCTTGGTGCATTGTTGATAAAAGTAGAACGTTTTTATTCTTTTTGGGTGTATATGAGACAAGCACCTTTTCTTTATCAAAACAAAATTTGGAGCTGCCTGGATCGCGATTCTTAGTTGCTAACATTTCTGCCGGAATCTCTCGTTTATTTTTTCTTATAGTACCAACCATAGTAAGATTGTATGGTGGATCTAATAAATCATCAGCTAGTTTGACGGACGTAAACCAATTGTCCATTGTAATATTTCGATTTGAACCTAAAATTGTTTCACACAATGTTTTCACGTAATATTCTCCTAAAGGCATCCCATTGGTGTTTGTGCTTTTGCCCAAATATGGCATAGCGTCGAACATGTATTTTGATGAAACATCGCATACCAAAACTATTTTTATCCCATATTTAGACGGCTTATTTGGTATGTACATGCGAAATGGACATCTTCCTCGAAAACCTAGTAGTTGTTCGTCAATGGTAACATAAGAGCTTGGTCTATACGAATTTCTGCATTGACTTATAAATTCATCCCAAATGTCTCTGATAGGCGCCAATGCATCCGTTTTTTTTCTCTCGTCCCTCGTGCTTTTATCATCAAAACGTAAACAATCCAATAAAAACTTGAACCTTTCACGACTCATGACTGCCTTGAACACAACTCCACATATTTTATCATCAAATAATTCTTTGGATGACAAATGGTTACTTTTTAAATAAGCAGACAAAACCAGTAATCCTAGCAATGCTCTTATCTCATTAGGACTAGAAGTGAATATTGTAGAAGATTTTGTTTTATATTTGTTAGATTTTTCTCCAATCATAGCGTTTGTATGTAATACAATTTTATCAATCATAGAATCCGTTATAAATACCTTAAAAAATTCGTTCGCAAGGAGATCATTCTGGACAATCATTGCTGGACCCGGAAAAATATGGAGAATATTCCGTTGTGGAGTTCTCGATACCGATTTGGGAACTGCACTCCATCGATGACCATTTTTCCCTACAAGTCTTACTTGTGATCGAATTGTCTCATCAACTCTTACGACTCTTCTTTGTGAACATGTTTCTGTTTTAGATGCTTCGTGCTCTTGTTGTTGTTCTTGTTCAGTTTCATTATATCTGGATGGCAACGAATCGTCTACCGATATTTGATCATCCGCATGTGTTTCTTCATTTGATTTTTTATGTAAAAGTCTTATTTTTTTTGCTCTAGAAGGGCCATATTCATCTTCGCTATCCTCCTCTGAAGGTACGTAATCACTTTCACTGTCCTCAAAATCTTCAAAGTCTAGGGCATCCTCAATTTCACTCCCACTTTCCTGGGTGCTGTCGTCATCCGATTCCAGAATCAAGTTTTTGGCAATTTCCTCAAGTTCGGCTTGAGTAAGAGGCCTGTTGTCTTTACATTGTTTAGACATAGTCTTTAGGAATAACTTGTAAGTACTTGTAAGTTAAATGCGCAAAGGAATAATCTAAAAAAATAGATTATCTAAAAAATTGTTTATTTAACAAAAGTTACGTTAAAACTAACCTTTCGTAAAATTTACGACAAGCGTCTTATAGCTGCTAACAGGTTACACTTAAAAATCAACCAACACCTAGGGGCTAGTCACCAACACTGTCGAAGAGAATACCAAGACGCAGAACTCGATACCTAACGAATCCGCACGATAGTGGCCGAAAATAAAAATCGCAGTCGTAAAATTTACGAAGCTTAGCGTTCTAGGGTTAAGTAGCCACGGCAATGACGCTCATGGGTGTGAACAAAGTTTAAACGGCATTAAAAGAAAAGTGAACAAGGCACGGTAATGACGTTTTGCGACACAAAAATTAAAATATATTTTTTTCTATAGTATAGTATATACTCGTTTAGACTAAAATAAGTAAGGAATCAAGTAAAAATAGTTATGATAGTATATTAAATTTTGAAAAAACAAGTCAGAATCGATGTCAATAATAAAACTTAAATTATAGAAGGTTTGGAAATAAAAACTGTTGTTCATATAAAAAAGTTTAATTTAACACAATTAATAGCAATATTAACTGTTAACATAATAATTTTCATTAGGTACCGTCCAAATCCATAAAGGATCTACCAACCGAGGCCGTCACCGAGTCCCCAAACAGTCGTACCAAACTAAAAAACTCCATACTTCAACTTCGTCTGCCAATAGAGAAAAAACTCATTGGCAAAGAGGCGTCCACTAACATGGAAATCAAATGCATTTCATCCATGGACGGGATTAACCCATCTCTAGCCCCACCTCTATCCAGCATCCGCAACATTATGATTGTTGATGAGCATCAATTGGTCAACAATCAAAAGTTGCACTGGCCAAATAGTGCAGCTACAAGCATTATGTGGAGTCTTACGGTTATAATATTGGGTATGTTGATGTCTTTATGTTAAATTTCTGGATAGTTTTTCTATTTGTGTGATACTAGAGACTGGAATACTTAATTACTAAAATTAAAGTTAAGTTATATTTAATTATACGAAATCATATCACCAAAAATCTAACACATAGGTAGTGTCCCCTTATAATTAGACCAAATGTATATATGTGATAAGTTTAATGAACGTAAACTGAAAACTAAAACGAATTTAATTTGAAAACAACAAAAAAAAGTAAATACTGCCAAATAAATACTACACGAGTAGTAGTCAATTAATTAAATTAATTTTTGGTACATAGCTAGATCATAAATTGAAATAAAAATGCATGCATTTTTCACATATTTATTCGTTTGGTCGTTAAAAATTTTAGTTTTCAGTTAGATGCAATAAAAAGGTCATTAAAATGACAAATTTTCTAATTAATTAAATTTACCACCTAAAATAAATTAAATCGAAATAGGCTTTGTTATAAATTTTATTTATTGAAGGATTAAATTTATTGTTAAGTATAATAAACGGTTTTTATACAGTGTGTCTCTGGATTGACTGGGATAGGTGTAATTTAGCAAGAAAAGATTAGTAATTTTCTCAACTGCTTTTCACTAAATTACTGTTAAAAAGGGATCTAAGTCGCTTAGTTAATTTAAGAAAAAAATAAATTGTTCTTGGTAAAGTTGTTTTTCCGTTGATTTTATGAAAACATTTTATTTGGACTATTCCACTCATTACTTTATGGACAAATCAGAAAAAATAATTGTCAATGTTTACGTTTCTAATTTTAAAATAAAAATGTCATAAAATATGCGTTTTGGTCAATAAAATTATTCAGAAATTAAATCGGCAGTTAATTCTAATTAAAAAAAAATATTCGTGAAATAATCTTGCGGAATACCACTGATAAAAATTTTATTTACTCAAGATTTTTCCTTGGAAATGTTGCTCGTGGCATTAATTTAAAACCACTCGCCTAGAGGCCCGTGATCTTAAAAATTAATGCCAAATTTACAAGAAAAAAACATTCGTACAAAAATCAAAAATTTTATCTGTAAAATTTTACCACTAGTGGTATTATATACAATAAATTATTTTGCATTGAAAATTATATCCCATTTTTTATTGCATTTAAACAAAAAACTAATGCTATAAATTAAAGTAATTATCAATTTCAACTAATTCAACTAAAAATCTGTATAAATACCCACCTAAATAACTACATACTCTCTTAAAATGAATTAGTCATAAATAACTAATTATAAGTCATATTTGACTAATTGCAATGACAATTGTCATAGCGAAAAAGCAGCCACTAATAATTAGTCAAATTCTACTGAATGGAATAGTCAAATTAGTAGATTTAAATTTAAAAAAGTTTTGACCCAGCCGGGGATTGAACTCAGGTATGTCACTTGTCAAGCTGTTGTCATAACCAATGTGGCTATCAACCTCTCTTATAAATATTGTTCATAATATTTTAAAGTTAAATATATTATTTGTGTTGCTGTTTTGACCTAAACTTTTTGCATATTTGTTTGTTTTTATGGGCCATTTAACCATGGAGCCTATAGGCATTTAATTCAAATTATACTTTGTTGTTGGCCGCAAACGATTAAAGAAATTAGTTACTTTTAATTAACTCTCAGAAATAGTCAAAGATGGTGACTAATCTCAAATTAGTCAAACTTTAACTATTTACGTAGTAAAAAATGCTGGTACTACTTTAAATAGTAGAATTTTGACTATTTCATTTTAAGAGAGTAGGTAAGTTCTTCTAATTTCTTCAAGAGATAATATTATGGCTCTCATCACATTAGTAATTTTGTTTTTTAATCTTTCCAAATTATTTTTTTAATGTCTTTATAAACTTCCTGTTTTAGCTTAGACAGAGGTTTTAAGAAAACAATATAAATATTAAATCATATAATTTGAAATGTGTGTGACGAAATTTAGGTTTGTTCCAAATTACCTTATTGTTTGCAAATCTTACATCTTAATGAAATTTTGAAATCTTGAAAAGTTCAATCCTGGGACACACTGTATTTTATGTTAAAGAATTGAAGATTTGTAATTTAAAGATGTTTTGTTATGGAACTGTATCAAAAAATTAAAAATCTATTTAAATTGTATTTTATTAAATTAAAATAATATAAATACTAACATTGCATTAAATTTATTTAAAATTTTAAAAATATGAAAATAAAACGTAAAATCCCTTCCCATTTAAATTATATGTTTGTTTAATGAAAGTTGCTATTTTAAATTATGTTACAGGTTAATAAATTAACCTAGTTATAAAATTATAGCGAGTAAAACGAAATGAAATTTTATAAGTTTTATTTTAATTACGAGTTCTGTTGTTTACTGTAATTCAATTTAAACATTATTTAGCACTTTGCATAAACGTAGTGCTAGTAGAATACTAAAATGCAGATAAAACTCATTTTAATACAAATTAAATTTAAATTTGAAGTCACCCCTATGAGGGAGCTATATAAATCAAAACGTACATTGTGCATATAACACAGTAAGAGAAAAATAAATTATGTTATATGTTATATTTTTATGGGTAATTTTATTTTAAATTAATTAAGTTGCTAATGTTGTCACCAAATAAGTTGTCATCCTTTAAAGGTAGTACACGCCAAAATAAAAAATTTTTGAATTAGTGCGATTTTTTTTATAAAAAATCATTAAAATTTAAACTTCTAGTAAGCATTAATCTTTATTCAATGAAAAATTATATTTGTGTTATAATTGATTACTTTGTTGATAATTGTTTTTTGTTTTGCATACTTAGCTATTTTTATGAACTTTGAATAGAACGATACATACTTTTTAAAGTCGTTGTAGGTATCTAGAGGTTTAGGAGGTTTTACCATCGATTTTAAATTTTACCTTTCACTTTTTACGTCGATTGATGCTCATGTAGCTATTTTTTAAGTGTTTCACAAAATCATGATAAATGCCGATATTATCCCCACAAAGTTGACAGTGGCGTAGAAAATCAGGATGTGTCGCTCTTGCTATCATATCCGGATGATTTCGGAATTTATCTGCTGCTGCAACTTCGCTCTGGTACACTAAACTGTTCATGTAGTCCCAGAGAAACTACAATAGCAACCAAACTGTCAGTAATCATTGATAACAAAGTACCTACTAATCGATTTTGAATAAGTTTAAAAGTTTAATTTTTTTTATTAAAAAACAGTAGCTCTAATTCCAAAATAATGGGAGGAAAAACTTTCTTGTTTTGGCTTGTACTGTTATCCCACCAAAGGATGATAATTTATTAGGTCACCCTGTATTTTCTGAAGGTTTTAATTTTGAATTTATTAGACAATTTATATGCCTGAGATGTTCTCATATATGACATATTTTCTTATATATGACAAATTTTGAAAGTATACTTTCAAAATTTGTCATTGTCACATTGATGTGACATAAGACGATGGAAGTCCAAAACTACTTTTCATATCAAAACACCACATTGTTTCAACATTTGAAAGGTAAACCACATAGTTATTGGACACTTAAGGAAAATTATTTATTTAAAATTTATATATGCCGTTGTTTTAAAGATTTTAGGTTTTTTCTTATAAAAAGTTAGGTTTTTTCTTATAAAAATTATTTATTTAAAATTTACATATGCCGTTGTTTTAAAGATTTTAGGTTTTTTCTTATGAAAAGTATGGGTAGTTTGGTTGTTAACGGTTACTTTAAAATAATAATATTTAAATTTTTAATATTAGTTTTATAAAAACATGCAAAAAAGTATAGTATACGACGGACATTATATATATTAATTGGACACATGGACCATAGTTATTGGACATACGATTTTTATATAAACATAACAACTTTACATCAAATAACATAAATTGGTAAATATTTAAAAAAAAAAATTGCTGTTTTAGGTAATTTTTTTTTTATTTCGTTTTTGTAAATATCATAATTCATATATTTCTTTCTCGGATTCCTCATCCCTTTTCTGGATTCTGAATGTAACTACTAATTCCTTGGTCTGACTTCTGAAATAGTTTGTTGCAAATATCATAAAGTGTGGTATCTCTAGTTTGTGAAGCATTTATAATGTTTAGGCTAGAACAGGATCATTTATATATATCTAATATTTTTTTGGGTGGTATGATAAAAGTATTTTCCGAATTTATTAATTTTGATGCCCTTAGTTTTTTATGTTCTTTATCATGCACTGTATTTCAATCACTGTTATTTTGCAAAATGTCCTATGACGAAGAAATCACTATATTACTCATTCTATAAAAATGAATTAGTCAAAAACGTCATAGCGAAAAAGCAGCCACTAATAATTTTCGTCAACAGCAATTTGTTTCCAGGACATTTTGCAGTCAATTCCTTATTCGCTGAATCCGAAAATGTCGTCAAAAGTTATAAAAGTAGAACATTTTTTGAAATATTATTAATTTTACATATAATATGGAATTGATTATATCTTAAAAACTGTTAACTTTAATAGTTTTTGACGACACTTTTTGGATTCAGGGGACAATTTTATATAAGAATTGACTGGTAAATGTCCAGGATACAAATAAAGTATGATATTGGACATATGTCTAATAATAGAAATTTACATTTTTAACCAACCAGTAATTGGACACTGGCTATTTTACTCTTTGTTTTTAGAATTAAAATTAAAACGCATTAAAGTAACAATGTTTAAACCATGAGCAACACATCTATACCACACACTGATCTGTACACTTTTTAGAAATATTTTTTATTGTAATTTAAACACAGTCCTGCTCTTAACAAAAAAACAAAAACCAAAGTAACGTGCGAACTTTTTTGTCCTATATTGGACCCAAAATAAAGCTGTTCTATATTATTCCCGACTGAGATAGTTATAATTGTATACAGCGTCATCTAATGATTTGACTTTAAGGTAACTATTTACAGAACTCTTGTTTTTACAATATTAATGTTAATTGTCCAATAACTATAAAGTATCCGATAACTGTCTACTTTACCCTATTGGATAACTAGGTATTTTTAACACATCCTAAATTTTAACTATTTATCGAAGAAGATAAATTGCATTTTTGTAATATTACAAAAATGCAAAAAAAATTAAAGAGAACGAAGAATTTCTCCGGAAGAAAATAAATCATTAACAATTGATGGTCAGAACAATAATGCAGTCAATATACAATTCAAAATCATACTATTTTTAGTAAAACCCTACAAATTACAGCAAATGTTACTTTTATCACATAAATGATTACTTATATTGGTCACTATAGTTCCTGTCAGTACTCAATAATGTATTTAATTTAAATAGTATATTGATTGAAATATGGTTCTGTGCATAAATGGTTGCTGTTTTATTTTCTCTATGAGAAAGAGTGGGGTGTA